TGCGGAAAGCCCAAATAGGTCCTTTGGGTTGCCCTTTCACACAGGGGTTACCCTTACCAAACACCGCTCTATAGATCTCACGTCGGACCGCGCCAGGGAGCCAGATCAAAAGTGCCCCAGTGAGCCAGCTCCGATTGAAGGCGGGCGGGCGGCGTCAGAGCGGCCTGCGATTGTGGGGCTACCCCCTTGCAAAAGCAACTCCTTTTGGAAGACGGGAGACCCTCTTTTGAGGTTCCATCTCAATCTGCAAGGGAGCAACAGGAATCGCCATGAACATCCACATCCCGAATGTATGCAAGGGGGCGGACCCCCAAGCAAGGAGGCTTTACCCATTGTGGTAAAAGCACATCATGTGTAGGGCCCAACGTTTTTTACAATAGGCATGTGGATTCATGAGCTGTGATTTGCCTGATTGGGCTGAAAGACAGACGTTGACACGGATCCCCTTCGACCATTCCGCAGGAGCTCGCCACAAGCTGTGAGCTGCAAGATCTTTGGAAGGGCACGGATTTCCAAGTTGCCTTCATATTCATTGCAATTTGGGTGTATTTTGGGGTCCGTTTGAAGGGAAGGCAGGAGGAAACCACCCACGTTTGGGGTCCCATTTCTATTTTGACACATACCCATTTCTTCCTTCATGCGTGCGCAGCAGGGTTTCGGCATCATTCTGTTGTTCCACGTCCAAGTTGCAAATGTCTGAAATGTATTTGAGGTGTGGGTTGTCAAAAGTATGGGCTTTGTCGGGGAGCCTCACCACATTTTGGGGGTCCAAAAGGGAGCCGCCATGTTTTATTTGCAAGGTTCGCTCAAAATTATTGGCCTTCTATGGTTCATTTGGGGGACTCGCTAAATGTTCAATGGATGGCTCTGCAATATCAACCGTAGACTAACTGATGTGTCTCGAACAAGTTCTGGACCCTGCAGCTGTTTGCAGAGTAGATTGTCGCAGTTTACACAGTCAATCCTAGGTGACACTTTCCGGTAGATACCAATTTCTAAGCTGCTACACGTCGCCATCAATTGTTTTTCTGCGCATAGACATCCCCGACCTCCGCGGGCGCCCTGTTTCATTTTGTTTTTGGAGAGAGTTTTTCAAAGTTGACTACCCAAGCAGGGTGCCCGTTTGTCCCATGGAAATCTACTGGAGGTTGGGCGTGTCATGTTCAGTGTAGCCTTTTTCGGGGGTTCAGGCAGTTAGAAATAAGCCCGCTAAGGGCAAAGCCGGTTTACCGGCCTTTTCCCTTGCGCAGGCTATGTGGCATCTCCCAGCAAGGCGCTCTATGGCGTTTCTTGAAACTCGTTGAACTCATCGGGTGTGTCTCAAATGGAGAAACCAGAAAGCATGGTTGTCCTTTCAAGCTACCCAAAACGGAATCCTTGAGAAAACCCCAAGGTAGCGCGAAAAACATCACCGACAGTGACTTGCGAGAATGCATTTGCAATTCGCGCAGAAGTACTGCAGTGCCAGATGTTCGGCTGATCTTTGTGTGGCAGCTACGATGCATTCGAAGTGAGTTTGTGTCAACATGGAAGTAAGTCAACCGACGCAACGTGCGTTTGTGCCTGAGTTCCTTTGGTTGTCTATGGCACCCATAGGGGCACCCATGGGGCCCCAATCCCAATAAGGGAGGGGACCCTGACCAGCATGGGATCAATGAATCGCGTTATCAGAGCACCACCATGTTTTTACCCCACGTGTGCGATTTGCAGGGACTAATTTTTGCATTCATGCAAGCCATTGTTTTGGTAGACATGCCGAGCCGACATTTGGTGGATAAACGCTTATGCCGCTTATTACTTATTTAGCAAGGAGAAGGAGGCTTCCCAAATGGGGCCAACCCAAAATGGGCTTCGGCTCCCCTTTAGTTTCCCTTGAAACAAGCCCAACAAGGCTCTTTCTTCGTTGAGAAGCCATCCGACCGGTACATCCGCAGATCGTCGTTTTGCGACTGGATTGTGGCAGGAGGGTACAACATCCTTTACGGATGCCACAACGCCTTCATCGTCCCAGGAGTGCGTTTTCGTGGGATTAGCTGCCCTGGTCAAGCAGAGACCAGATCTAACGGTCTACAGATCTGTAGCAAAGTCAAACAATAGCATCAAGTTGCTTTGGAGTTGAAGAGAAGCCCAGGTATTCAGTGGCATATTTGGATCTTTTTGGGTTGACAGTGTTTGGAGTACCAATCCCCTTCACCATGAACTTGGAGGAGAGGGGTGTCCCTGGAATTCCAGTTTTTCCATTGTGCCTTTGGGGTTGAAACATGGTTTGGGACAGAACAGACACCCTCCGCTCAAGGTGCGGATGGCTGGGGGTTGCCTTCGGCCCTTCCTCTCAGATGTTTCCCAGTGAAGAAGTCCCTCTAAAATGGGACACTCTCCATATATGAATAAACCAGGGGTAGGTTAGTCCTGTGGTTCTGCTCTGTCTTTTCGGGGGAGCCTTATTTTCTTTGGTTTTCCGGGAAACCAAGAGGAAGCAAGGCATTGCGCAGTTGGGGTGTCTCCTTGTTTTGAGACGAACTCATGTGCGGCTCTCTCCCGGCCACTTGAATTCCAGACGCCATTTTAGTTCGATGCAGATTGGCAACTTTCCGATTTGTTGTCGCTGCCTCATCCACCAAGGACCGGATTGCACAGGGTTTGGGAATACAGTCGCTTGAGTATGGCAGTTAATTGGAATGGGTGTTGGGTACAGGGTTCTTGTGCTTGTTTGGGACCGCAAGCAGGCCTATAGATTGCAACCCTGCTCAAGGTTGAGGAGCCGATGTTTTTCTTGGATCCTATGTTCTCGCGTGGGGTTCTCAATGCAATGATTTCGCTAGACCGGGCAAGTGAGAACGCGACCTCGGAAAGGGAGTTGGCAACCAAGGGATTCTGAATCCTATTTTGGAGCATGTCTTAGCTTATTTGCCCAAAAGGAATGGTGAGTCAACCTTGAGAGTTTTGGCACCGCGGCAGGAGCTCTCCTGCTTTGTGACGCCCAGCAGCAGGCGCACGTGTTTTGCGGGAAGTCACAAGCTGCCAGACGATTGCCTCTGTGGTTATACGCTGCCACCCCTTCTGAGTCCTTTTCGGGGAAATCAGAAAATCGAACACTTGGTTAGTGAAGGATCTTTTTTTGCCCAGGCTGCAGATTGCGAGGGGCTGGGGGGCAAACGGCAGGGCAATTGCAAGGCTACATATATCGTCTATACCCTTGCATTGAATGCCCTGGAGAAGCTCCAAGTATCCTTGTCAGAAATCAAATTTGAAGATGGTTGTTATTGGAATTTCCTCACAAATTCCATTGAATGGTATCGATTTCGGGCGTGTAGGCCAGTTTGAACCGGCCTTAATGGTCCATCAATCATGTTGTGAAAGGCTCCTGTAGATTGCCTTGCGTATCCCTTTGCACTTGACATTCTTGAGTTTACGCCAATTGCCATCGACCAGAAAACTGACGACTTTTTGCAGAGACTGCACGTTTGACCCCATTTTGCTTGTTGAGGCGTCTGATTATTTTGTTTGTAAGACCTCCAAGTTTGGTGTAGTGCAATGTCTCCGAACCAGGAGGGCGGCCTGGGCGGGAACCCTCCATCCATGTCCCAACCAATCGGCTATGACTTTATGGAGAACATCTTCAAACATGGCTGTGGACATCAACCTGCATTTAACTGATGTCCACCACAGCAGCCATGTCCACCAAATAATTTGACGTCGCCTCTTGGAAGGTGTTTCACCTCGTCACCAGCTAGAACGTTGGATTTGGTGGTACTCGTAGGGGCAACAGACCATTCCCTCGGCATCCCCTTCCGCTCCTCGGGCCCCAAGCCCCGCAGTCAGGACCTCGTCCCCAGAGATCTTCAGCTGCCGCAAGATGGAGGGCGGATGTGAGGTGCGGATGGCAAGCCGTTGGTGTCGGGGGCCCGCAGCCAGGGCTCAGAGGGCGGCTCGTCTTGTTTTAGAGGGCACACAAAGACACCCATATTATGTCAACCTGGCAGATTTGAAGATCACCTTTTGGTTGCCCGCGCAAAGCGAGGGAGTGATGAATTGAATCCTTAAGGTAAATCATTGAGCCACCACTGGGGCAAAGAGCAGCCTGTGTAGAAGGCACTCTTGATACTCATAGATGTTTGCCTTGCAAAGGGTGGGGATCGTCATTTCCACTTTGCATTTGGCTTCTCCTTTTCAACCACCGCACAAGATTAACGAACCTCCCAACCTCAACAAGCTAAAAGGAGAAGTGGGAACGCAGTTGGTCAAACAATCCGGTGGATTGTGAGTTTAGGATGGCTCCCTGCTCGAGGGTATTTGTTTGGAACACCTTGACGGAACCCCCCCCATGAATCGCCAAATTGATTGATCCGAGATCAAGATGTTGCACTTGAACCCGGTAGATTTCTACGGCCTACGAGAAAGTAGTATATGAAGTAATCAGAGGCGGCTGTGACCACACAGTTCTATGAAAAGCCTTATAGATAGATGTGATACGCAAGGAAGATTATGAGGCACCCACGTGCCATGTGCTTGACAGTTGCATACAACTGCTTGAAAGAGCATTCTAGCTGTTTGTGCGTGTGTGTTTTTTCAAAAGCGTAGAACGACGAGAAAGCAACGCATCAATCCTCAAGACGTTGAATCTGGAAACGACAAACCATGTCTAGGGGCAACCACGGTTGCGAAGCTTGTGTTGGAGATTGACTCCGTGTGGATATGGCATCAAATATAGCTGTTGTGTTTGCTGTACATGTGTGTGTGTGTTTGCTTGTTTGTGCGTGTATGTTTGCTTGTAAGTGGTGAGGGTGTGTGTGTGTGACTTGCTAGTTGTTTGTGTGGTTGTTCGAAGTGTTTGTTTCTGCTGTGTGGAGGTTTTCCATATCCTTGAGTTTCGTGCGTGGATTCCAACCATTAATCAACTTTCTTTGCCAATTGTCGTCTTGTCGCCCTGCACAGAGTGAGACTGAAGGGAATATAGGGATTACTTGTAGTTTCGACCGATGTGCTCCATCAACAGGATCTGCACATGTATCTGGATTAGGTGGCATTTCTCGGGCACCTCATCTAGACTGGGGATGCCGTTGCTCGTTGACCCTGATCCTAAGTATCAGGGAACTCAATAGGTTTCAACAACCGAGTTCCAGCTTGCACCAAAGGACGAGTCCGAAGGAACCCAATCGTTAGAACCAATCAAGGGTCACCTACTAAAAAGCAAGGTCATGTTGGTTTGCTTCTCGTGTTTCCTGGCAGGTGCTGCCCAGACAGGAGGAGGAAGAGGCAGGCAGTGGTCTCAGCGGTTGAGTGTCCCAAAAGCCGGAGTTTGTTGGAGTTGGGCCAGTGGGCGAGCTTTCGTCTTGTTGCGCAGACAATTGCGTTGTCTGGCTGAGGTGGCTGAAAATTTCAGGCTCTGCCTCTCAAGAACAAGTCAAACAGGTTGCCATCCAATGGGAAACCCACGTACACTAGCATAAGTATAGCCTCCAAAAGGTGATGGTGAACAAGCAACAGGTTCCCAAATGTGGATGCAATAGTCTTTCTTGGAAGAAAAGCTGCCCAGGGTAGAGTGGGAACCGGAACCTGCTGTGTTTGATGCACGCAAACTACAAGCTGGTAGTCAAATACTTGGGGTGCGTCCAAACGGAAAGCATCGATTTGCGGGTCTCTCATTTAGAGACCCCATTTCACACTTCCCTGACTGAAGTAAGAACTGCTGCTGTCAATGTTTGCAAATTCGAGGGTTGGGTTAAGGGGGCGGGGACGTTGGATCCGATGAGCAGGGTTGGACTGGTGCCAACTTCAGATTGCGCGTCAGCGGTTTGCATTGGGTTGGAGGTTCGGGGTTGGAGGTTCAACTCAACCAATCCAAACCACTCAGGAGCAAGCCGACAACTTGCTGGTGGATGTCAACGCGGCTTTCTCTTGACCGGAAAGTGCTGGCCTCCTACACCCAAGACATTCACTCAAAATACCCGGGTTTAATGGTCCACTTGGAGGGACCTGGAAGATGTTCAGGCTGAGTCAGAGAAGGAGAATGTTGAGCCGGAGATCGAGCCGGTGGAGCTGTGGAATGCGAACTCCGAGAAGGAGGGGCGAGCTTGCAGCATTGCCAAGCTGCTTGAAACATGTATGCCAGTTGAGACGTCGTTGCATGGTTTGATGACGGAAGACTCCCTTCGCCCTATCAAATCCCGGCCCCTCCCCCCTGTTAGGTGTAATTGTTTGTTTAAACATATTTATCAATCGGTCCCACCACAGTTCTCGTCCAAAATGGGGGCCCCTGGCTGGGTGCCAAAACCTCACAATTTTAACATGCCGAGCAAGGAAGCTTAGCGAAACTCCTCGAGGCACTACGGCACTTGTTTCGGATTTGTCAATTAAAAATCGAAAGGCGGATTTTTAGACTACGATGTGCAATTTAATTGTGCAATATTGTGCAAGGAAAAGAAGGGAAGTGCTGAACCTGCTACTAATAAGGGCTCTCAGAAGTTTAGTATTGGTTTGCCGTTGGGTCAATTAATAGTAGGGGGGGGTCCAAAAAATCATTATTAGTAGTGTTGGATTTATGAATAGGGGGAACGGAATATTATTAGGAACTTGGCGTGGACATGTTGGCCGTGGGTCGGGATCGAAGGGCATGTCATCAGCTCTTTGTTTCTGCCATTGCATGCCATCATTGCTGTGCTGCCAATTATCGATCAGCTCAAGTGACGAGCTTGATGGGGTCTTCTTTGCCGCGTTCCCTGCAGCGATACATCGCCCCAGTTGAGAAGAACTGACGATGATGCACAACGATCCTTTACGGGATGCTGAAGAATGAGGTGCTGCAAGTTTATGTCTTGTATGTTTCTTGGGTGGCGGGGGGTCTCAATCGCAAAGCAAACGCCTGGATGATGGTGAAGTAATGCGACTGAACCGCATGTATTGTTTGCTACTTGCGCGTCAAAGGTTCGATGCAGGTTCGTGGGAGTCCTGCCTAACACATTCGTCCTACTCACAGAGACCTCATGCTTCAAGCGTTCGGAGATGGAGATGCCAAAGACTCGGAGAGGTTTGTTGACGTCGGTGGTTGGTCCTGGTGCTGGTGCTGTTGTTGCTGCCGCTGCTTTTTCGCAGATTTCGCGAGTGCGCAGCCACGCTTTTTATGCGCCGCTTCTGACCTGTCAGCTGATCAGGAGCAAGAGGAGGTCCGAAAAGCAGTTCTGCTGCTTTGGCTGCCTGAGGAGAAGGCGCGGTGCTCGGGCGCCGGTGGAAAGGGCCGTTGGACGCCTGATTGCCCTTTTTGTTGCCTTTAGAGGGTTTGGGTTTGCAAAGCCTGTGTAAAAGGCAGGATATTTGGTGGCCAAAGGTGCAACTGCTGCTTTTGCATTTTCCATGTTTTAGGGGAACCCTATGTTGGTAGAATAATGCATGGAAAGCTCACCACGCGGGAAAACCAAGCTCACACAGGATGAAGGTCTCACATGGGGATCCATTATTTTTCGGCTTGTGAACAAAACCTGATTGATTGCATGAAGGTGATCGACTCGTCATGCCCATGCCCAAAAGCATGTCCAGTCGCTCGGAGGTTGATGTCCTTTGAGCAGCATATTTGTCCACTCGAGTACAGTAATTAACAGTTGTCCGAGCCTCTTGTTTCACTTCCATTTGGTTGAGAATCTGTTTCAAGTTCCCCTGTTGGTTTTAACGGGTTTTTTTCACTGGAAATATGCTTACTTATTTCGCTCTGAATGCCGCTGGAACTTGTCGCGCATGGAGATGAGACTCAAAGTGCTGACGATTCCAGGCAAACCCACAGCCAGTATGCTGACAGACCCGCACAAGTCCCGGAGACACACACAAAAAGTCAACGATTTGGCTTGACCTGAAAAATCGACTGACTTCACGGTGTGCTTTCCCCATGTTCAACATGCGGACACCCGTTCTAGCTCACAAGCTTGGAAGCCATCAGCCAGTCCCGACAAAAGTCGAGAGCCCCTCGACATGACTGCCGACTCACTTTCTGAGGAGCATCGCCTTTGCGGCAGTTTCGTTATGTTTTGTTTTTGACAGCGAGCTTCGCTTTTACACCTAAACCTGCTGGCTGTGAGCCAAAGTGATGTTTCTGGTGCTGAGGCGTGGTGCTGGGAACCCTGCATACCTAGGTTGCTGGTTACCCAGCCAACAACTTCTATTTGTGGCATGCGCACTGTTTTTCCTTGGTCCACCGTCCACGCGCAGCGCTCTTTGAGAGCCATGGAGCCCTGTCGTTCCTCGCCGCTGCTTTTCTCGCCTGCTGTGCCATCTGCGCTGCATGCGCCATCGGCGCCATCCGCTGCATTGCGGAGCAGGCAGAAGGGGACCCAGACCTCTAATTATGGTGAGTAATGTGTCAAATAGGATGACCACTCAAAATGGGGAGGTTTGGGTTCCCTTTCAAGCAACGTAAAAGACATCAAAAAAGGCGTGCACACACACACACACACCACGCACACAGTCACACACACACACACCCACATGACCAATGGTGCCCTGGTTGCCCTTCTTTTGTTGAGGGGCTTTGCCTTGATCAACCACGAAAAAGTCCCGGGAAGATGCCTGCAGTGCTCAAGCAGTTTGACAAGGGTGTCAAGTGGGTGTGGCTCATTTTTGAGGGCCCCTTTCTTGGGGGTCTCAAGGGAAACCAAAAGGAAAACAACTTTTTACGGGGTCCCCCTTTTTTGACACACCAAGTATTGTCTTGTAGAGGCGTCCTGAGAGCTAGGTGCGGCTTTTTTCTGTGCCCTGGGAAATAGATACAGCTACTCGTAGATGCATGCCTTTGTGATCCGGGCTTTCTGATCGTGGGTGGTCAATATTCGGACGTGCCAAGCTATCACAAACAACAGACTTGTACGCCCACTCGCGCGCTTGCACTTCCACGTTTCAACAATCTCTGTCTTGAGGTCTGGCTAATCGTTCAGATTTGGGTGACGGTAGATGGCACATATCGCAATGTTGGTTTAGTCACACCCTGTACTCCAGCCCATAAAGGACAAATGTGCCCCATGTTCTTTCCCTGTCCACCTTGGCATGAGCCAATTTGCCTGCTTTCTGCTTCGTCTCGTGAAAAGGCGGCCTGAATCCTGGCGGCCAGCGCTGGCGGTGCTGGCTGCCGTGCCAGCCGCTAAGGCCTGGCCGTTGCAGACAGATCCGGGCTGTTCAAAGGCAATCCCTAGGCTGTGAACTTGTAACTCAGCTTTTGTTTTTATCCAGTGGTTCCGGGCAATCCTGAGTCTTTACCTTGATTTCTGATAGGGATCGCGGTTGGGATTGGCCAACACCCCGTTTTGAACTGCCCAGAGTATATACAAATGGTTGGTCTTGTGTGTGACCGAATCGCCCCGGAGAGACCTTGGTCTATGGCTTAAGCAGATTAGAACTACAAAAGGTCTAATGACCTTTCGCTCAAGCGGTAAGAGCAACCATATTTTTTGACAATTCACCCTCGGGAGTTGTTAGGGACCTTCATCAACTCGTTTACTGCCTGGCTGGTGCTGATGGAATTCGAACAAGTCTGTGTTTGACGCGAGTGGTCAAAGCACCAGCCTCTTCCTGAGACCCACACCCACAACTTGAAACATGCCAGGACATGAGAAAGGCCTTCATTCTCTCACTTCCTGAGATACTGGAGTTTATACTTCTTTGGAAAGACCATATGTTAGTCCATGAAGGAAGTGAGTTCTTCTCAGTGATGGGTCCGAGGGTGAAGACAGTACACCGACATTCACAGGCGATGCACTGACCATGTCACGTGCAAGGCTTGGCTTCATAGCGAAGCATGTGCAATCAAAAGACGTGCTACTGAAGGATTGAAAACGTGCCGCTGAAGAACTACGGGCAGGGGCAAGCTAGGGAGTTCCAAGGAAGTTTACGAGTTTTTTTGGGGCTGTTTTAAAACTGCATGGCTTAGGGAATGCTCATATCTAAAATGGAAACCACAGGGAAGCCAGCAAGTTCAGGGGTTCCTTTTGTGGGGACAACCCCATTTGCTCTCTCCGCAGGTCCGGAGAGCATTCAGGGCCGACGCTTGGCAATGGATTGAGGTTCGGTTGTCCCAGGCATGCGGAGGGTGAGTCCTTCTTTCCTTTTGTTTGGACGGGTTTCCTTTTCAGATCCACTAAGCAACAGAGGGCCCAACAACTCCCATGGCCATTGCGGGTCTGAATAAACACTCCCGAAATGGTTGGCGTAAATGATCTCCACTAGAGGGTCCCCAGATGAGTAATTTATGCCCATGTACTGTAGTAATTTTCAGCTGGGTGAGGCAGATCCTTCACGTTTCTTGACCTTTTTCTTCAAGCAAAGGAATGTGTGCCATCTACTTGCACCGTCTGATTGTGCATGAGTCAAAGGGCTCTAGAAGCTCATGTCAATCACATATGCATGCCGCCTTGGCGATTCGAACCGCCCGATTGAAGGGCAATCCAACTGGCCAAGGTGCGCCCCAGATCGCGCCTGCAAAGCGCGAGCTCTCCCCTGGATGAGTTGCTTGGCCTAAGAGTGGCACTTCAGTCATATCTATCCATCACGTGACTGGCAGGGCTTAGGGCTTGTCTGCTTGCAGGGTTTTCAAGTTTGGGCACAGGAAACCCATCCATTTGTTTCAGGTTGAAAGTTTGTGGGTGAGGAGTGTAGAGTATTGTGCTTTAGACTTGGAGCCAGTGAGGAATATTCAGTCGTTTTTTTTGCATCAGGAGCATTGATGTGTGCTTGATTTTGTTGAGAGTAACCGTTTTGAGGTTGTGTTCAAAGGAAACCCGACAGGCCCCCTGCTTCGTTGTCCTTAGGTTCGACATGCTGGATACGAGGCTTGGTGACAGTTCAGGATGTTAATGGAACAGGGGGTTGCCACCAATAAGGGGACCCTTCCCCATTTCTCCTTGTGAGTACCAAGGAAGGGGGCCCGCCGTCTTTCTGTTCTCCAGAGATGTCCGTCCAAACGTAAAATCATGAGCGGCGGTTGATTCATCGTGCTTGAGAAGAGCGCTCAGAGCTGAAAAGGTAGAAGAACCTGTGAAAGAATGCCCATAGTAATGGCAGTCCATATTACTTGAGCTTGCCAGGCTTGCCTCACGTTTTTGTGAGATGCCTTGATCGGTTTTGTGCAACTTGCGACTCTGGGCTTGCATTCAAGGAATGGCGACGGTGTGCTGACCCGGTCAGAATACCTGGCTGGGCAAAAGAGGAGGAGCGAGCGCGTGGAGGCAGGGCGTCCTTGTGTGCGGGACACCCTTGTGGAGAGATGCCATCATTGGGGGCCTCGTGCAACCTGCCATTCAGTCTGAAGAGCCGAGAATGTCCGACTTCAACAAACGGGTCAAAGGAACAAAAGCGATGACATTCAATTCAAGTTGCCTCAAGACGTTGCACACAATGTTTGAGCTGGAGCTGCCAAGCTGCACTTCTCGTGCGACACTTGCATATACTGAAAAGCAGCGGTATGTGCAGTGAAATCGGGTGACTGTGTGGTTTTGTTTGTGTGCACGTGCAAGCGCGTGACACGTCCACATCACTCACGTGCAGGTGCGGCAAATAGTCTGGTAGGGCCCAATTCAATTGATCATGTTAGTCTGAAAGATGACCCACGTGTTGTTTTTCACAGGGCGTGAAGCGTATTTTTTGGAAGTGTTGCTTTGGGCTTTGGACTGCTCGATGGGTGAGTCACATGCCAAGATATCGGCACCCTCTACATGAAGGCTGCTTTGCGCAAGAAACCCGCAATGAAGCAACATGTGAAAGACGGATTCTACCTCTTGCCTAGCAGAACAAATGTTCATGTGTGCACACCTGCCACTGCGCAACTTGCTGTGCATGCTGGGGTAGGGCCCACTCTAAGTAGGAATCCGAGAAGCTGTTGACAACTTGCAACAGGTTCTCACTCTCCCGCTGATCCAAGTCATCCCATGGATGTCCTGGAGGCTTTTTCCCCAGTTAGATGCCCCGTAGCTTGCCTTACTTTGACGCTTCTACTCTACTTCTTGATGCACCAGCTTTGTCACATCAAGCAGGAAAAGGCGCATTCCTTGACGGCAGGATCTTCCAGTCCAGTCATCAAATTGTCAAATGGGTGTAAGATGTTTTGGGAGGGTAATTGCTCTTCTTTGGGTGGTATTCAAGGGACCCCAGAAGGACAGACACAATTTTGGGTCCCGGCCCCCTAAAAGGTCCCGGCCCCCCTATTTTGGGTCTGTCTCCTCATGGGACCTCTGTGAGGTGACAGTGGGGGGTGTGCTCAATCAAAAGCTGGAAGCCTTCAAGCAGTACCTCATCCTCTCAGAAGAGACAGGGCCGTTGCCATATCGAGTTGCAGCTGCTCGGAATGGACTGGAGCGCTAAGAGTTGGTTGCTCGAAGGGTGGATTCTACCATTTTTTCTGGGGCTGTGAAAGATCCCTGGACAGAATGGGGGCTAGATATGCAGGCTTGGGGAGGGAGAGGATGGACGCTGAGTTGTGCTCTTTGTGCGCTTTCTTGTGCTTGTCAGCCTGAATAGTTTGATCATAAGATCGTTTTCAGTTAACCCTCAACTGTTGCCATCAAACCGGCAACGCCCAGCCCTTGCTCAATGCGTTGCTGGTGTAACTTGAGACAACAGATATTTGCTATTCCCCAACAGTTGAATTTGCTCACTTCAAAGGGTCAGCCAGCCAGTTGACATGTTGCCGCTGTCAATGCTTTTAGCTTGCCGGCCTGTTCAATCCTCAAAATGACGGTTTTCCTCTTCATGTCCATTTGAATCCACCAAAAAAGGAGTGCCCCCCCCCCCCCAAAAAAAAAAAGAAACACCAAAAAAAAAGCATTAGGGGGAAGCTGACCATGTGTCCGAGTCTTTGCCCAACCAAGGAGAGCTTTTTCACGGCCTTGGGCACGCTTTGCTTCGTGACCCGAGTGGTGTCTCCTATCTATGCAGGCAGCTTTGGACTCGGTAAACGGAGTATCCTGGATATGCACAAAGGTTGCTTGTTAAGGGCAGGGTAGGTTTCTGCGCCAAACATCACAAAGCCAAGAAGCATATTGATTCCCTTTCACCAAGACACGTATATTGTGGGCTATGCGGCATGGGATTGTTCGTTAGCCATCCAGAATGCTCAGGTGCTGACCTTGGATAAGAACTTGGCCAGCTTCTTACATGGGATCTTTTGCGTTTTTTGTTTAATTCAGTTTCTATCGGTTGTTACATGAATAATTGAAGCATGATAGATGGTAGGGTTGCCAGGACTGGCCTCAATCACTGAGACTATTGCCCGGGCAAGCAGCGCGCCAGGGGACCTTTTCCTCCAGGAGATTGAGGACGTGGTGAACGTGTCGTTCTTCGTGAAGTTCTTGCTGCTGTTTTGGCCACTTAGACTTGGAGTGTGGGGCACGTTCGGATCAGCTCAATGTACACTGCGGTGCTCACAGGACAAACGCGGGCTTCGTGAACAACAACGAGTCATCATGGGCTGATCTCAGAATGGGAATTGTTCAAATTGGAGGACCTCCTACCTCGTTTGAAATAGTGTCCAACAGCTTTTGTTTAAATGGGTTTACAAAAAGTAGATGCTTAGTTGACCTTGACATTTTGAGTTAGGGCACGACTGAGGATCAGAGGGTTCAATATGTCCTGGCTCTTCAGCGGCAAGGGCGCTCTGGATCTCGCCAGCTGCCTACCGGTTCTTTGCATCCCTGCGCGCCTCATAGGCGGGGGGCAAATAGACAGGCAGTGCTGGGCTGGCAGCTGAGTCTCTCGCAGACCGCGTTTGAAAATGGCCAGTGTTTGTTCGAGGGTATCATTTTACAGCTTGGTTGAATGGAGAAACAAGAAGTTTATCGTGGGTCCACTACAGTGAGATCCTGAAAGTTCCCTTCAACTATAAAGGACCTGGTTAACTTATTTCTGGGCCTGCGGCCTCTAGCCGGCTACGCCTCTTTGAAGTTATACCATGTCATGTCATGTTTTTTGTATGAGAAACGTATCCTGTGCTGTGATATGATATGGCTGGCCCAACCCCAGATGATGCCGGGGATGCCAGCTTTCTGGGCCCCAACCGGGCCCCAACCCAGAAGGCTGACATGGGGTCGCGCGCGCGCGCGCCAGAGGCCCTAGAAAGAGCAGCCCAAAAAGAACAGCCCGCAAGCCAGCCCGGAAACGAAAATGCAACAAAACACCGTGAATAGCAGCGTTTTGTGGCCGGGGTCGCGCGCGTGCGCGCCAGAAGGCTCGAAAACCAACGGGAAAAAAGAAAGGACCGCGCAGCACGCCAGCCGGAACCGCCCAAGGCTCAGCGACCGTATTTACAGCGTTTTCTAGAGTGAGGACCCAGCATCGCCGGCATGCCCGGCAGCGCTTGGCGCCAAAATGAGCCTCGCTTACATCCCTCCGACACCTTCTAAAAAACAGTGCTTCATGGGTTGAGAGGCTTTTTGGAAGGAAGTCTTGATGATGCAGACCAAGCCCCGCTGAAGCATCACCCAGGCCCAACCCCAGACCCTGATGATGTCAGCCACATGGCCGAAACCCTGCACATACGCGATGTTTTGCGAGGGTTTCCCACAGGCAAGCAAAACCGCAAGCCCGAGCTGGTAATGCAGAGGTGCCGGATTTAGGCAACGCATCACGACCAAGTGACGAGGGTCGGCGGCGCACGGGTGCAGCCCCGATAGCTGAAGCTAGCAGGCAAATTGCCTAGCGGCGACATGCTACCCCAGGAGGCGTAGCCGGATCTAAGGGCTGCCGCCCTGCGCCGCCGCCCCCGGCTTGCTTATAACAATTATGACTACGCGATTGTTTTGTCGGGTTTAACGGCACACTTAATGCATATATGAAAAAGAAGAGCACCACGATAATGATCATGCTTTTCATGATGCGAATTATAACCCAACAAAAGGTATGCTGATATTTATTACTATGCATTCGCATTATCGCCAGCAGTCATGATGATACCTGTTACTTTGCATTTTTTGCATCACCAGCAGTGGTTATGAGAATTATGACGACGCATTCCCTGCATCTCTCATAGAAGCTACTGCAGGATTAATTCGCATGATGATGAGCGCCTTGTTGGATGTTACAAGAAGTGCCCCCGGTGTGTGGAAACTTGGGCAGGAAAATCATGTTGGGGGGCACTTTTTTCTTATTCACAAGACTTCGTTGTATTGCTGTGGATGCAAAGCGTGGACTTGTGTCATCGCTTCGTCTTCGCGAGAAGCATTACACTACGCATCCCCTGCAACCCCAGTCGGGTCATGATGATGATAATGATGATGATGATGATGATGATCCTGATAATAATCATCATGACGCACCCCCAGCATTACCAGCAGTTATCACGACAATCATTACTACGCACGCTCTGCATTTCTAGTCGGGTCTAGCTGATGTTGGGTGATGGGTTCGCACCATCTGGATCATCAGCATTCTTCTGTTTCATATACGTTTCAAGCGTGCCCGAAGACCCGACTTGGAATGCAAGTGATGCATTAAAGTCATGATTGTTATGATAGCTGCTGCCCATGCTGGGGATGCACAGTGATGACTATCATCAGGATGTCATCACGGTAACTGCTGGCGATTGCTGGGGATGCGTAGTGATGATCATCAGGATCATCATCATCATCATCATCACATGCATGTTGGGTGTGCGTGCGTGCGATACGTGTGCGTGTAGTTGCCCTTCTCAAGGTTGGTTTAAAGGGAACCCACCAAAGCGTTCCACTTATTCCACAGACGACCCCCCCGCTTTAAATCCCGGTGTGTGTGTGTGTGCTTTAGGTTTTTTTTTGCAAAATCCTTGTTGAGATTGGTTTCACACATACCCGAATGCAATTGGGCCCAGAACTCCGGGTTAGGTGGGCCGGCATTGGAGCAGACCACAGACCTGCTGCAGATTGGCCGCTTCTTGCGCTGCTTTGGCAAACACATCAGGACTGGTCGACTGGTCCAGTGCAAGTTCTATGGGTTCGTTTGCACATGGCCAAGATGTTTGATAGGGGACCACCTCAAAAGCGGTTGGTGGACATGACCCCACGTGGAGATTCACACCCACATGGACATGATTTGAGGGCCATGTGTGAGGTACAGAACGAAATTGTAGGTTTCTATTTTTCCAAATCATTCGAGGGGCAGGTTTGGTACTCACTTGCTGTTTCGAAGATGCTCTGTTTGCGGGATCATGCCCGTGATGATTGAGCGAGAGCTGCGCCGAAGTGGCACTGCTTGGGTGTCTATTCCAAGCCATATTATGGTACAAGCAGCAGTCTGCCCAGAAGCATGCACAGAGCCAAACTTGTAAAAGGAATCCTGGTGATTGCAAGGGCAGAACAGGCCTATACCTCAGAGTTGCAGGAAGTGATAGCGGGAAAAAACAGGCATTTGGCTCAACTTCAAACTTGACCAAGGCTGTCCCATCTTGCAGACAGAGACAATGCTAAAGCAGTTTTGGAAAAAGGCACCTCCAAGTGGGGGGGTCCAAATTGGGGGTCACTCATGGGGCCTAAAGAATTGGAACGGGGTCGTTGGGTACTTTGCAACCACATGATGTCAGGGAGAACTGCCAGTAATTACTTTGCCCCTTGTATTACCAGCAGATTAGCCGCACCTTGCACCAGGGTCCTTTTGGGCCCCTTTGGGCCGACTCGACGAGGCCTGCTGCGAGTGGCGTTGCCGTCAGACTCCAGCGCTGGTCCGGGCGGAGTCGTTATCAGGCAGACTCAGAGCGGCCTTTCAGCGGGGGTGCCCTTTGTGGAGTTGTCTTTTTGTTGGTACTGCTTGCAAATCTTAGGCCTAAAGTTGGCTTGAGGGAGAAAAAGCCATCCAAGGTTCAACAAATGCTCTACGCCCCCTTTTTCTGGGGTGTACAGGACGGTGAATGTAAATAAGCCAACATGCGGGAATTGTCCACTTTTGCGCAAGTTTAACGGTTTCTGTGACATTTCCGTGTGTTGGGTTGTCCCATTTGTTGCGTTTGTTTGTGGCTGTGCTGATTGTCGTGTTTTTTTGCTGTTCACTTGTGCGGTTGCCTTTTGCGTATACCATGTCTTTGTTTGGGTGTACCGTGTTGTGTCTTTTGGGCTGTAGCCTTGTAGCATGGTTGGCTTTTTGTGCGTTGCCACCGGGTTGATTCCTCATTAAAAACTAAGAGAACAAAGACCCTCTTTGGAGTTTCCCAACTTGGAGACAAACTTTGCTGGCGGCAGCCGTCTTGGTTGTGGCACACCTAAGGTAAGCATTACGAGCAGCCAGAAAGACCAAATGAAGGTGGCTGGAGTGGGAAAGATAAGTGACAACCGAGTTCTCCGATGAGCAGATGGCGATCTTGAGTTCTTGAGCTAGTCTGCTTCCCTGAGAGCCAATATTATCGTCCGTGACAAACATGATTATTGAACGATGTATATCCTGGAACAATGTCCAAAATTTAAGGAGCCCAGTTGGCTATGAATCTGATGGGGAACCACCTCCAAAGTGGTTGGACATGAACCGCCTAAATGGTGTCCACCATTTCTGGTCTATCAAACTTCACCCAAATGATATCCATCATTCCGGGTCTAAGGCATTCCTCTCCCCCCCCGTGATGTCCACGTTTCGGGTCTAATCCCCGCCATAGTGTTCACCATTCCGAGTCTGTAAGCCAAGAGCCATCCGCCAATTCTCCAGGCAAGTCCCTGTGACGCAGCAGATCATCGCGGTGCTTCTTTCTTTGCTGGGCACGGTGGTGGTCTCGGCTACCGTGCTGTATTCCTTCGAGAACCCCGACACTGTGCTGGCGGCCGAGGAGGGCAAACGACCGCCTTCCGCACCGCTGTTGGGTGGGGGAGGGTTGGTCTCAACAGGAGGAGTTGTTTGTTTGGTGGCTGTGGAACGGAAACCCAACAGGGAAGTCAAAAGGAAACCAAACAGAAACCCAAAGGCGACCAGACAGAAGCCCACACGGAGGTCCAAGAGGAAACCGGACAGGACACGCAACCAGAAAGCCAGTCAATGTAAACGGATTCCCAACCAACCAATTCCCGATGACCTCCAAGGCATAGGCATCGGCTGAAAGTTACGCTCCCCTCTGACATGGCTCGCTGGCCAGTGTCGAATTGACCCTTTCACCTTTCCGTGTCTCCATGGTCAAGGGAAAGTTTCAAAATGTTTGTTTGAAATGGTCCTTTGGGCAAGTGAGTTGGGCTTTTTTTGGGGAAGTACTGTTTCATTGAGTCCAAACGGAAACGGACCATGTATCCAAATGGTTATCAAATGGAATCCGAGCAGAAATCCGAAATGGTGGCATGTCTTTGGGACACACCTGCCGCAGAGCCTGCACCAGAGCGCACACTTCGGAATGTAATGGTATTTTACATAAGACGAAGCTTTGTTTGCGGCCGACGACTTCTGTAGGCGCGCTTGAATATACTCGGTCGGTTGGTATGCGTTGGCGTCCCATATGTCCAAGCAAAGGGCGAACGATGCGATGGCTTTTGCCAGGAGCGGACCTTCGAGGATGCCTTGATCTACATGGTCAACATCTTTGCTGGGCGTGACCCTCCGTGGTACCCAATGAACCCACAGGCGAAGCTTTGTGGCAAGCTCGATAAAGGAACAGTTCCTTCATGCTGCTTAGAGTGACCACCTGGAGTGTGGATGTAGGTGGACGTTGGGGCACAGGGTGGCATTTGGAAGACCACCTGACATCCAGGATTCCAGGATGCTTACCTTATTGCCTCCGAGGCTTGCCTCACCTGAGGAAGGAGCCCTGTGTTTACTCTTGGTTTGCAACCGCATTCTCCCAGTCGAGTCTCTATGGCCACCACCGCAAGGACAGAACATCGGGTCTTGGGAGCAACCCTGCTTGAGGACCCAATGCAAAGGGTCATGGAACTCGTAGGAGTTTTGAACCAAAAGGATCCGAAGAAAACAAGAAAAAAACATGACACACGTGTCCTTGCTGGGAATCACAGGGTCGTCCAACTTCTTCCGCTTGCAATATATTTCGGGCATCCATATCGGAGTAAGAGTTTGTTATTGGGAACCCTTTTTGGAAATCATTTGAATGGGGATAAATGTCCACCATGTGCACCGACATTTCTTTCAGGCGGTTGTCTGAGGAAGATCGCCTCTCTAAAGGACCTGAAGCAAGAAGATATCGGCTCCCTACAAGGCAAACCCCGCCCGTTTGTTGGGATCCTGTCTTGACACTGCCCATATTATTTGAGTGTTTCTCACAATAGTCGTCCCCTAAATTGGTTGGTGTCGGTTTCCTGTCTGGTTTCCCTTTGAATACCAAACAAAACGAGGTCCCCCAGTTTAAGAAATATCCCATGTTAGTCACACGTCATCTCAGGTTTTTGCCGCTCCACACCAACATCCTATTTGAGGAAGATCTCAAAACGTAAGGGCACCCACAAAACGATCGAGGTTGCTTTCAATTTCTCAAGACAGCCAAAACCAACTTAAAGAGTGCTTAAACTAAACAAACAACGATTCTCATATCTGAGAAAGATTGCCCAAAGTAGGTGGACCCCCAAAGCTGGAGGTTTCCTCTTGCGACCAAAAAGAGTAATAGACCAACGTCCAACTCGACTTCGACTGAGGAAGATCGCCTCTGTGATGGCCACGACCAGCGGTATCATTTTCATCCCCTTTCTCGTGGCGCGTTCCGTGGAGCTTTTCATGGCCTCCGACGACCCCGACAACGAGCTCGCAGGCCAGTGGAGCTCCTATGGTTACCCGGATTCGGTTCCAACGGAAAAGGACGGGCTTGGCCGAACGCGATACGTGAGCTTAATAACACACGCGCGACGAGAGGTTGGGCATGAATTCTTCCTGTAAATGATACATTTTACGTGAACCAGTAGGTCGTTTTTCACACTGGGTTTGTCCAGGAGTCGAAGTCGGCTCATTTGATGTTTTCCTGCGCTTTCGAGCCGGAGCTGGGAGTCGAACCCAGGCATTGCTTAGGGTTTGGGGCGAGCTCCACTTTCACCTTTGTCAAACAATGGTGTATACAATCAATCAAGGTAACCTCCCATGGATCGACGCGTTGGGCATAGAAACAGATTGCAAAACACGACAGACACAGCAGCACTCCGTGGAAAGAGCTAGCATGTGACTAAAAGATACATGTTTTTCCCTTGCTGCCTGATGAGTCTTTGAATCTGGAGAAACATCGCAGCTTTATGGAAAAGCCTGGGTCTTCCGGTGCCCAAATGTGTGTAAGTACTTGTTGAGTGTATGATGCATCACTGTTCCATATTATTACTGTACTAAGAGTTTCTAGATTGGTTGCAGCGGAGTCACTCATGGCCAAACCCTACGAAGATAGTTTTACAGAGCCTACTCCCAACGTGATTGTACATATAGTACTTGAACCCCTGACCTTTTCAAGGCATAGATTTCATTTCGGGCCAAACACCAAGACAATGTCATTCGTATTCCGTTTTGCACATTCCAAGTGTGTAAGACCCCGTTACAAATTGAAGGCATGTTCCGAGAAGTGGAATTCTCAAAGTTTCCAGAAGCTGGACCAAAGTACCTAGAAAAGAATCACCGAAACAATAATTCAAAACGTATGTTCCTCTTGGATTGAAGACTGAGGATTGCCCAGCAATATGTTCCTTCAAATTCATGGCGATCTCCAAGCAAATAGAATGACGTGGGACAGTCGGTTGGGCGCCTCAACTTTTGCCAAGTTTGGTTTCTCAGTTTGTTAAAGTCTGAAATTCCTGCATTGAGCAGTGTTTGCAATATGCCATTCGGCCTCCATTTGTCAAGTATGTTTAGGCTCTTGTTTACGGGTGCTTTCAAACCCGAGCCTGGACATTAGAGTGTTCTGTTGTTAGATTGTGCTTTGTTTTCCAACTGCATGTCCCTAATGTCCAAGAATACTGAACATATACTGTGGCTTCGTAAATGAGGTGCCACCCTTCTGGTGGGATTGTCAGAAGCAAAGGCCAGTTGAAGAGCCACGCGAATGCAATAGATGGCTTCATCAACATGAATCATGCATACGTGTCACCGAGTTTTCACTGGTGTGTCGTTTCTTTCAAGCCGACCACATGGACACACGATCAGCTAGAATGCGTCAAGTGTTGTGAATGTGCTATTAGTCTACTATTGAGGTTTGGCTTCTTTTCGCGGCGCAGGGCCGTTGTGCAAATGCTGGGCACTTCAAGCCAAAGGGGGCCGAGGGATCAATTTCTGCTGGTGCCGGCTGCATGTGCAGCGGGCAGATATACCAAGGTCTATTGCAACCAACTTTGACAGGCCCCCAGATCAGCCCACGGATGCATTGGGGGTATGATGAGGTAAGTGCAACATGTTGGGTTGACGGGGGGGGTGTTTGCCCGGGCTTCCACGCTGCAAGCCGATCGTCAGTGTGTTCGGAGCTGTTAGGCGGGGGGGGGGGGGGGTTGGGTGGGTGGCTGGCTGGCTGGCTGGCTGGCTGGCTGGCTGGCTGGCTGGCTGGCTGGCTGGCTGGGAAGTATGGAAAGAACATGGGTCCATGTTTCAAGCCTATCCCGAACCCCCAGCCCACCCGCAAGCGTTATTTGTGCGCTCTACGCGACTGGAGCTCCAACTGCGCAGTCCCAGTTGCTCTGTCTGACACGCAACCACTTTGCCGCTTGTGGTTTTAGATGTCCGAGAGGGTCTGGGGCGGAAGGAGCTACCGTATACACATAGGCAGGCCTGGACAGCTGCATCCAAGCGTTGGGGCATTCGGAAATGTCACAGAGAGTCAAGCCGCAGTCCTGCTTTGAAGACGCAAACTGGCTGCGCACCAGCCCCGATTGGAGCAAATGAACATGTCACGCCTGCCAGCACAGTGTATTCGAATCTGAGATTCGAATACGCGAAGTTGGACATTGGCAGACTTTCCTGTGATCCCACCAGAGCCACGATTTACTGCTATTTGCATAGAGCTTGCACAATTCCCAACCCACGTCCAAGAGTGACCGTTAGTCGGTCCGGGCAACCCCCCATCCCCCAGCCAACCCAACATGTTGGTATATTCGAAGCGAATGACTACTTGGTCACACTGCGTGCCTATGACGATGTAACCATACTGGGTAGCTCCGTCCTGTGTGGCCCTGTTTGAGACTGAAAGTAACTGTGCACCCTCCCTCCAATCCACAAACCAGAAAGGAGGATTTCGGAAGACTACTTTTTTTCTGGGGTGACCCCCTGTCCCCCCGTTCATTGACCCCCTGTCAATTTCCCGGATTGTTGGAATGAGGTTGCATTTCCATATTTGTCAGCAGCTCAACGATCCATTTGCAGGCGCTTTTCCCGGAGTGGACCGCCGACGAAAGCTGGCCACAGACCAGCAACGAGGAGACGATGGGTGGCAGCTACAGTTTGGGGATATTTGTGCGTAGTGCCAAGCAAGTCCCAATCAAGCAGTTTGATTGAGAAGGAGAGGAATCCAAAGCATCAACAAGTTTAAAGACGGACACGCCAGGTATTGAGGTTGTCCTTGCTTGTCAGTTGCCGAGGTATTGACTGCAAAAGCATGTGCACAGTCTTGCATACACTGCCAGCAAGCAGGTTGAGAAATCTCTCCCTTTGACGCCCCCCTTTCCGTGCTAAGATTCATCCATTCGGGGCTTGTCTTGCCTAATTTTGAAGGGAGGCCACATGGAACTCCTTGGACAGGCAAGCCCATGAAGGGTCTGGTACATGTTTGCTAAGCTGCTAAGGCTTGTTTTGCCCGGAAAGGGCTTCGCCTCAGGCTTGCGCACACCAGGCAGCTCCTTGGACCTTTGGGTCTCCATCTTGGAGCGCTTAGATAGCATCGAGACTGCGAACCTCATGGAGACCTCCGACTTGAAGCCTCTCGGACCTGAAGGTCTCCTTGGAACGCCCAAATTCACGCCCCGGGTTCCTCAAAACACCGGAGGGCAAAAAGGATCTGTGAAGTTGTTTAGGGGTCTCACAAATACATTGGTTTGTTGCCTTTCAACCACCATTTTCAGGTTCATGGGAGTGTTGAAGATGTCACTCCATTGGACCCCGACCAACTATCATGGAACCCGCCAGTGGCTCGGTCCCTTTTACAGGGAAATGCCCCAGTTGGGTTTCAATGAGTGCGAGGGTAGGTATTCGGGGTGTTTGCGTAGGAAGGGTGACTGCATGGAAGCGTGCAAAGAGCGATGAAGAGAGAGAGCGAGGGGAGCAGCACTAGGTAGGTGCAGATTGACACCAGCCCGTACAGTGCGCTCGCAGATTTAGAGACAAACGGATAGAGCGATTAATGTATGCAGAAATGGGTGTTTTCTTCAGATGTGCTGCATCAGATCCAGTCTTGCTGTTGGTCGTCTCTCAAAGTCATTTATGCGCTTTGCATGCGAAGCTTGCCATTGGCCAATGCGTTTTTCGTCTAAGATGATGTATGGGTTGGGACATTTAATCAGAGGTTGCATGTCTCGAAGTTATGTGGCCTTCGATGGTTTGGTTCTTCTTGGTGCTCCTTGTTGATAGGTAATGGCATACCGACGTGATACTGGCTCAAGTAAAACAAGCTGCTGCCTGTGCTGAGTTTTAGGTAGATCCCACCTTGCAACAGGTTATCAGCCGTATCGCTGGTACCTTGTACAGTCAGCTCTCACCCGCGCCGCAATGGCGTCAAGCGGCGACGGATGCCACCCTGCCATAGCAAGGATGAACGAAGCAGTGGCCAACGAATTGATCAAGGGTGGGCATCCGGAAGGGAAACCGCCATGCAATCCGTCGCAGCGCTCCCGAAGCAGTTTTCCTGAATCCGACCAAGGTGACGCGCTTGTGCCCATCACTTCGGTCGTCCTTCCGGAGGATTCAATGGGAAGCAGAGGGGAACCTCTTGCCGGACATCAACCTGGGCAAGAGATGCACGCGCACATGACTAAGAATGAGACTCACCTTCATCAACATCATGTGAGCGCCCCGAATATATATCAACATAGCCAGACGGTGAATGTGGTCAACACAGGTCCGAGCACGGAGGAAGTGGCTGCCTATGCTTCGGCACGCCACGACGCCATCATCAATCAGCTCCAAGCCGGCCATGTTGAGGAAAAAGGCCGACTCTATCAGGACGCGGTGAACCACATCAATGTATGCCAACAAGAGGCAATGGCGAAAGAAAGAGAGTTTAACGAGGCAAGACAGCAGTGGGTTGCTCAACGCTCAGAAGCTGAACAGAAGTATGAACGGCTCAAATTGATTTGGGAAGTCACCCACAACAAGCAGAAGGAGGAAGCGGACAGGAACGCTGCTGAAATGAGGGAGATTATCATGAAGCAGTCGAGGGACATTGAGGCACTACGTCATGAACTGAAATCTCGCAGTGAGCAGAGTAGTTCTTCTAATGTTCCGATTTTCGGTCTGAGGCCAAAGGCCTCTCCTGTACAGACGTTTCCTCCCCCTGGCCTGGATCTTAGTTCTAAGGTACGTGTCAGGTCAGCTTCCACCGAACTCCGCCGTGACGGGCCAGGTGCCGCCGATGATCTTGACGGGGATGCCGGGGATTACGAACCGACATCTCCGGCACAGGACCTTAACGATGGTGGCGGATGTCCATCAGGCGCAGGGAATGGCCAGAGCGGAGGCGGTGGGGAACCACCTGCCGGTAATCCCGATGATGACGATGATCCTGACGACGACGATGACGATGGGAATGACGATGGGAAGAAGAGCAAGAAGGACAAGAAGAAGAAGAAGAAGGATAAAAAGAAGAAGAGCAAGAAGGACAAGAAGAAGAAGAAGAAGAGCCACAAGAAGCGAAAGAGTGGGTCTCCTTCCGACTCTCCAAGCTCTTCATCATCCAGCTCCTCAACATCATCATCCTCATCATCATCATCGGAGAAGGCACGAGTGATCCGCAAGAAGCTCAACAAGATCTTGGGTAAGCAGGCGAGCGCAGTGGACGCAGACCATGACAAGCCCAAGGTCAAGGAGGCGGAGAGGATTATCATTCCCTCCTTCCCACTTCCTGAGAGTTACAGGAATTGGCGCATCAAGGTGCGGGAAGCCGTATGCGCGGCATCCGATCGCCCCGATGACGCTTTCACGTGGATCAGCAGAGTGTGGGAGCCCGCCGTTACAATCGAGGAGCTCAAAGAACCCGGTACTTTCCTCACCTTGGACGCCAAGTTGCTATCCGCCCTCACCAACATCATTCAGGGTGACCTGGCGAGACAAGTCGACACCTTCAAGGAGGTAGAGGCGCAGAAGAGGAATCCAGTTCGTGGGAGACAAGTGCTTCTCATGGTGCACGAGCACCTGAGCACGAACATCAAGCACGGAGCCACCTATGCCATGGAAGATCTCCTCAACGTGAGGCTCGTGAACGATAACCTCACTTCCTTCATGCGTAGCTGGGAGGGTGTTCTTGCAGGAATGAATGCCAAGACACCAGATGACTCCATGCTTGAGGCTCTGTTCTACAACCAGCTGAAAAAGAGCAAGCAAATGCAACACCATTTGAATGTCTATTTGAGCGCCTCGGAAGAGTCCGCCGATCACTCATACACCTACTTGATTGAATCTGTGAGGCAATACCTGTCTCGAGCAAGGCTCGAGCGCAACCGAGAACGGGTTGCTAGGCAGAACGGGGGTAGGCCAGCCGCACCCGCCGCTGAGAGCCAACGTGTGCCTAAGGGGTTTTGCATTGCATTTGTCAAGTATGGGTCGTGTCGGCGGGACAATTGCACGTACAAGCATGAACAGCCATCGGGCGATGCAAGGGGTAGGACCCCATCAAGAGACGCTAAGCCAAAGAAGGGTAAGGGTAAAGGCCGAACGAATAGCCCAAAGGGAAAGAAAGAGTGCCGTTTCTACCCTAAGGGGAGGTGTGACCGTGGTGAGAACTGCCCATTTGCTCACATCGACCCGAAGCCGGCCGTTCCAGGGTCAAGGGAGCCATCCGCAGACAGGCAAAAGAAGCAGGGAAAAGATCGGAAGCATCGCAAATCGAGCAGGGATCGTTCCAAGTCGACCTCTCGATCCACTTCCCGTGATTCCAAGGGAGAAAAGAAGAAGGGTCACAAGGGAAAGTCTTCCGGAAAGCCCTCTCCTGCTGCCGTTTGCGTGTTGGGATGCCTATTGTCTTCCATGATGAACGCCCCTATCGCTGAGGGGAACCTCATGTCGGACTGGAAGCATGTGCCTGCCCTCCCGAGCGTGCGTTTCAGCTCGAAGGTTGAAATGAATAGGATACCAGCACATGGTGAGCAGTTTAAGATCGCGGACAAACCGCGCGTGCATCCAAAGGTCTACCCAATCGACCATCAGTTTTTCCATGATGATGTTAGCATAGATGATGCTAGACTCGAAGCAACCATGCTCGCCTTCATTGTGAGGCGTGAATTGGAAGGCCATCCGACTAGATGCAACTACGAATGTGACAGCGAGATCGGATGCTGGCAATGCGCCCCGAGAGACATGGGCGCAAAGCCCGCCTTGGCGAGCAAGAGATTCTCTCCGAACTGTTCATGGATTATTGACACTGGGAGCGGGACTGATCTTTTTACACGTGCGAATTGCCCCGAATATGCAATTTATAATTCAAATGATCCCGTGATGTTGATGACTGCCAATGGACCAAGTGATTCGTCAAAGCAGGCCAACATGGCCGCAGGTGACCTTGGGAACACGGATCCATATTTGTTGCCACAAACACCCTCTGTTCTCTCCGTAGGTTTGAAATGCATGAATCAGGGTTATGACTTCATATGGCATGCAAAAGAGAAGCCATTCTTTGTCAAGCCTGATGGGACGAGAATTTATCTCAAAGTTCGAGATTATGTCCCGTACTACGACGTGTGGGATGGCGACTCAGCAATGGCGTGTCCCGCCAAAGGCACACCGCCAAGCCGACCGGAAGGTCAGGTCGCCAGAAGCAATGCACCGAATGAATCGTCACACTCCTCCTCCGTGCAAACTGAGGATGCCGCGGAAGAAGAGTATACGCCTAGCATTGCCCCTCTAGAGGATCCTGAGGTGCATGCTAGAGTTGTCGCCGAGCTTCTGGCGAATGACCCCGTTGAAGTCCATCCAGATGAACTTGCTGAGCCATTAGAGAGTAAAGATTTGGCAGGGGAAGATGTTGTTGGCAACCCCGATAAGAAAAGCCCCAGATCACTTGCAGAAAGTGCCCTAAGGCAGGAAGCAGCATCACGGAAACACCTAATGACACACCAGCCAAAGAATCCATTCTGCGAAGTGTGCAAATGCGCCAAGATGACCAAGTCTCCCTCTCGCTCGCGGGGGGGATCCAGACAAGTTGATGCTCGAAAATTTGCTGAGCATATCACAGCCGATTTCATAATCACTGCAGACGAACAGGAGCTAGGCATAGACGATGAGTACTCTGCCCTTGTCATAAGTGACGTTGCCACCGGTTTCAAATACGCATATCCTTTTGCTAAAAGAAACACGGAAGCCACTGTGAAAGCGTTTCAGCATTTCACTTCCTCGTCAGACGAGGTTGGCACGTTTTATAGTGACAACGCCCCTGAGTTAATTGCTGCAGCTGAACAGATGGGCTGGAGACATGTCCTCAGCCAAGAGTACATTCACAAAACGAACGCGGTGGCTGAACGAAGCATCAGAACCGTGCTCGAGGGAACTCGAGTCGCACTTGCACAGGCCGGGTTGAATCATTCATACTGGCCGCACGCCGCAAGGCACTGGTGTTTATCTCAGAATGTTTGCGAGCCACCTTCTGGTTCCAGAACACCGTGGAATCTTAGGTTCGAAGATGAGTTCAAAGGTCAGTTCTTGCCGTTCGGATGTCGCATAGACTACTGGATTGGCCCAAGACAGAAACCGAAGAAGGACTTGAAGTTTGATC